TATTAACTAAAAATATTTGCTATACAAAATGAAATACAAAAATAAGTACAAGAATTAAAATGGTACTAACTTGATTACAACAGGTAGAGGCTATCGCAAAAGTTATGTCATTCGAACAGTATTTCCGTCTCACTCTTGTGCTTGTGGTTCTATAACGTCAGCTCGAATAGGATACAACTTCCTAATTCTACAACCCGCACTGGATTATAGAATTCTAGCTAATTGCTTTGTGTGTTTACTCTCTGGAAAGTTTGTACAGAAGATAAGGAGGAAGAAAAGATGATCCTACTTGAAAACTGTGATTGCAAATATATAGGTTGTTTCACACATTTTCAAATACCTGTTCAGCGAACTTGAAAATACACAACTCTTTCTAAGAGCTATGTCTCTTAATCAAAACGTTTTTTAATTAATAAATTAATTAAAAACTTAATCCGAATTTAAAATTAATGAATCCGATTAATTAATATTAATTGTATTAGGCTATATTTTACAAACCTAATCCACATGTAACATCCCACATCGACCAACGGGGAGGGGGTGATGTGTCTTATATGTACATGCCCACCTCCATATAGCACGAGACCTTTTGGGAACTCACTAGCTTCGGATTCCATCGGAACTCCGAAGTTAAGCGAGTTCGGGCGAGAGCAATCCCAGGATGGGTGACCCACTGGGAAGTTCTCGTCTGAGTTTCCAAAAACAAAACCGTGAGGGAATGGTGAGCTCAAAGCGGACAATATCGTGCTACGACGAAATCGGTCCGGGATGTAACAGAATGGTATCAGAGCCATTATGTCGTTCGGTGCGAGTGTGCCAACGAGAACGTCAGGCCCCTAAGGGGGTGGATTGTAACATCCCACATCGACCAACGAGGATGGGGTGATGTGCCTTATATGTACATGCCCACCTCCATATATCACGAGGCCTTTTCGAAACTCATTGGTTTGGATTCCATAGGAACTCCGAAGTTAAGCAAGTTCAGGCGAGAGTAATTCAAGGATGGGTGACCTACTGTGAAGTTCTCATTTGAGTTCCCAAAAATAAAATCGTGAAGGAATAGTGAGCCCAAAGTAGACAATATAGTGCTACGGCATAGCCGGTCTGGGATGTGACACCACACAACCATAAGGCCCAAGCCTTCAATTCATTTCCAAATGGTCCAAATCCTAACTAATATTGTAAAAGACAAAACATATATAAAGGTCCTTTGAAATCCTATGTTCCCACTATGTTCCCCGATGATGTGGGAGAGGAGTCTCAAAACTCCAACAAATATATCCAAGGTTTTCTCCAATTTACCACAGAGAAAAAAATGACAATAAATAACTAAGATTTGTTTTTTACTGCAGCCATTTCAGTTGAATTTGTTACACTCTAATGGATTCACAATGTACAATTTGCATATATGTAAGTCTTACTGCGTATTTATAGTGCAAGATGCCATCATTTCTATATATACAAAGAAACAAATAGTTGAAAGTAATGTAAAAGACGTTATCTTCGCCATTAAGGGCTAATTTGAGATTGTTGTGTTTTTTTTTCTTAAAATTATTTTTTTTGTGCTTTAAAAATAATCAGTTGCAAAATAAAATATTTGAGCCTTTAATAAAACATATTTATAATAATGTTGTGGTATGAAAAATAGTGTAAAAGTGTTTGGTAAATTTCGGTGTAAAGGTGACATAAGTGTACATAATGATAAAAATGGACATGATAATGCGGGCAGTGGTGACGACAATGGTGGCAAGGGCAATGGTTGTGATGGTGGCGATGGCGGTGGTGGTTGGTGTGGTGGTTGGGCTGCAAAGGTAATAGTAGTGGTAGGGGCACGGCAATGGGGATGGTGGCAGTTATGGTTGTGGTGGCAGTGATGACAATTGTATTTACAGTTGCAGTAATGGCGGTGGCGGCAACGATGGTAGTTGTGGTTGTGGTGGTAGTGGTGACCGGTATGGTTGTGATGGTGGTTGTAGTGGTAGTGGTGGTGGTGGCGGCGTGATTGTGGTGTGGTTATGGTGGCAACAATGGTGGTTTAAGAGATTAGGATTTGTAGCAGTAGGTAGTGATGTTCACTTTTTCTACAAGGGTAAAATGTGTCTGGAGGATAATTAATGTTATTTAAAAAAAAATAATGAGATGCAGGAATTAAAAATATTCATTGAGGGCACAACTCTGCTTTTTATTAAAGTAGCTTTTAAAAGCAACTACAAACTGTTTTTAAAAGCTGCTATCTGAAGGCCATTACTTTTAAAATAAATAGGATATTTTATTTTACCAAACATTTTTTTATTGCATAACTTTAAAGTGAAGCAATTTTTGGTGAAAAAAAAAATCAATACCAAACTGGGCCTAAACCTAATGGGAAATGAAAGTTATTTAACAGATAGATTAGAGGTTCACTAGTGTTGCGATTTAGAGATATTTTTGTCTACTTATAAGAAAGAGAAACGAAAAATCAAGGACAACCCACCATTACCCAATTATATTTCGAAAGTGCTTTTTCCACTCATTTTTTCTTCATGCACACCCTATGTGTTTACGACCATTAATTAAGTGTTACAAACTTTCATATTTAAAATAATGCATGTCAAATAAATTGGAAAGGGAATGGTTTTACTCTTTAAGTAACTAATTAAGACCAATTACACGTTAGCCATATAAATGTCATTATTTCTCAACTAAAACATTTTAAAATGTTATTTATAATTTCTTCATCAGCCACATGGCCTCTTGCTTGTAGGTCATATGACTTATGTGCGTTGGATGGCAGGATGAGATTTAAAACTTGCTTATACCTACTTGGCAAAAGGAAAGTCGTATATACTCATCGATTCATCAAAATATGTTTGTATACCTTTCTTATCAGTGTCATAAACTTGACCTTTTAATTAAAGATAAATATTTTAGGCAGTATAGGTGAAGAAGCAGTGAGCACAAGTTTAATTTGTGCAGCTGTCGTAGCTTTTTTTTTTTTTCTTTCTTTAAAGCGAATTATCTTATTAAAAGAGAAGAATGCAAGTACAAAGATCGTAAAAATCGAAGATGGTAAAAGGATTAGATGAAGCAAATTTCACATCAAGACGTCGCTTTACTCTCCTCCCGCACCACACAAAGCAGATGCGAAGAACCTAGATCCTTGAGAGTTTGGACGTCAAACTACACCAAAATTAGCGTTTTTTCTTCTCACTCAAAGCAATAAAGAACAAACTTCCCGAGCTTTCCTCCCTCTCTCATGATGACAGGTGCTGGCTACCTTCTTTAAAAGGAAATCCCCCGAATCAACCACATATGTAAAGTTCGACGGTTCGGGAACTAACTGAAAGAGTTTTCAGTCTACGTATGATCTTGAGGTCCTATTGCATGCATGGTGGTGGTGCAAGAATATAACATCATAATTATTTATTAATTAAAATTTCACAAAATTGTAAAATTAGAGGACGAAGAAAGCAAGCAAAAAAAACCATTTAATTAGTTAATTATTTCCCTTTTCAGTTTGGGAAATGTTATTAGCACTTCAAAAATCTCATTCTCCACTCCTCACAAGTGTATTTTTCTTTCCCAATATAAAAAATTTGAAGTGTAAAACGAGATTTTTAAAATACTAATAACAATTTCCTTCAGTTTTTCTGTAACTAAAACAGGAGAGAAATTAAAGGGCTCCCAGCTGTAGCCTGTATTTTTAGGTGGTGCTCATTTCACGTACCACTCGCCAAATTAATGCAGTGTGTTAATAGCTCAACTGTTCACAAAGCAGGCAACAGCTGTTGGTTCGATTCATTAATCGTTTCGAGTATAATAATTTATCTTCCTCCCATCTTCACTTTATATATGTTCATCATTCTATCTACACAGCCTACTACGTTCACCATATTTTATGATCAAAATCTTGAATTCCATTAATATATAAATAAAGGAGTTTCAACGAAAAGTTCGCGATACGGTTCATTTTTAAAAATCACGTTTTTACATTAAAAAGTCAAACATGTGTATTCACTTTACTCTTTATTTTATCCTTATTGTTAAAACTCAAAGTTTTCAAGTATTTTTCATTAGTTTCTCTTATAAATAAAGCAGTAGGATTGCACCAACTAAAAAACTATGAAATTGACATTTTACCTACCAACCATAAAATCCTATTAACTAAGCTGTCATGTTTTGTTTCTTTCTAATCGACCGACATTGGGGGAGGAGGATTTATTAAACACTGAATCTCTAAGCGTCTAGATAAGCTCTTTTTATCACTTGAGTTACAAGCGTTTTACTCGTTAAGATGTGATGTTTAACTCTTAAATTTTTAAGCAAAATAGCCAGTCTCTCATTCGAACGTTAGCCTACCGAAATTCTCTTAAACTCATGTGTATCTTATACATCAAAGTTTTTACTCGTTACATACAAAACAGTCTGATTCTTGTGGTAGCCGGCAGCAACGATATTTCTAATACCTATTTTCTTAGCGGTGTTAGGGAATTGGAGTATGACGTTCCTTCTTACACAGACTTCATGCTCAAATATGCCTCTGATTTTATCAAGGTGTCTATTTTCTTGATTCAGATTGCTAAAAATGAAAAATCTACATTTCCTTGCAATTTAATTGATGTAGCTAGCAAAGTTATGAATTTTGTAGGACTTGTATGGATTGGGGGCAAGAAGAATAGGTGTACTAAGGGTGCGTTTGGTACGTGGGATGGGACGGGACGGAACGGGACGAGGCGTTCCGTCCCGCGTTTGGTGCGCCAAAAATGGGTGGAACGAGCTGTTCCACGGAACAGATTTTGGGTGTTTTTGCGTCCCACCTCCCCCCCTTGGAACGGGTTTGTTCCATGTCTGTGGAACACAATGTTTTACCATTTTAAGACAAATATACCCCATGTCTTTTTCAAAAATTACACCTTCGTTCCGTCCCGTCCCGTCACGTCCCGTCCCGTCCCGTCCCGTCCCGTCCCGTCCCGTCCCGTCCCGTCCCGTCCCGTCCCGTCCCATTCCGTTCCGTCTGCGTACCAAACGCACCCTAAGTGCACCACCTATCGGATGTGTACCTTCTCAACGAACGGTAAAAGGAGGCATACAAAGAGATTGTGACGAAAAACAAAACCAAGCATCACAGTTGTTCAATTCCAAGCTCTTTGTGGAGATGGACCACCTTAACAAAAACCTGCTAAACTTGAGAGTGGTCTACATTGACATCTACAATTCGCTACTCGATCTAATCATAAACCCCGCTAAATACGGTATGGTGCTTCATTTACTCTACCTAGCTAGCTCCATTATATTTCTTATAAATTAGTAAATATTTATTTGTTTGTGTTGATCCATGCCGGCAGGGTTTGAAGTTGCGAATAAAGGGTGTTGTGGTACTGGCACCATTGAAGTAACAAAACTATGCAACCAGCTCCAACCTGCAGGAGTCTGCATAGATGACTCTAAGTATGTTTTCTGGGACAGCTACCATCCAACCGAAAGAGCGTACAACATCATTGTGAAGCAGATTCTAGACAATTATACCAGCCACTTCATCTGAGACAATTCATTATATCTTTACAAATGAATAAAACCCTTCAAATTCCCTGCTTGGAATAACGATTTGTAAATTGATTTGTTCTGGACTTAGGTTGATCAAAGAGTTATGCGTTTCTTTATGATTTAGGTCGACATGGTTTTGTTATATGAAACAAAGAAATCAGACATATTAACAAGAGAAACGAGAATTGTCTATAGCTTCTTGAAATCATTCACAGGTAAATATTCGGAGCAAAAACATGTTTAGATGCTATCGATATGAATTAGACCAATAGAGAGTTTGACACGTGGAGACCACTGAGATACAGAGGGCGGCATCAAGAAACCATAATTTTGAAGTATTTTTGAAGAATCTGCGAAGCAACGTTTCCTGCACCGGCAGCTCTTTCTGTCGATCGGGTGAAGTGAATACAAACATTATATAGACAAATTTGTACATGCGAACGAACTGAATTGGCTTCACAATATACCTGTTTCTATTGTTCCACTACCACAACAGCCAAATTACGTAAGAAGCACTTCAACTGCTTTTTAAGGTTTCACTTGTATTTTTACTCATAATTGGTCTAAACAACATTTTTATTAAAAGCGTTTTTAGTCACTTTATTAGCACTTATAAACAAGCGCTACAACTTTGTAAAGTAGTTTTTTTTCTCACTTGACCTAAATTTCATTGGAACTTGAAAGTTAATCACATTTGGTTGGAGATAGACTCAACTATGGTGATTCACTACGTAAACTCTTCTAGTTCTATTACTCCTTGGTATTTGCATGTTGATTGGAGCAATTGCTTGTGGCCGGTTAGGCATATGCATGTTTTTGTTTTCATATTTTTTGCGAGGGCAACTATGTAGCCAATGCCTTAGCTAACTTTTTGTGCAGATCACGATCCATATTACTGGTGATCCAGTCCAACGTTTTCTTATATTCATGATCTTTCTACTTCTACCAACTATTATTTTAGATGATTATCATATGTTTTCTTTGTAAATGGAGTTCCCCTATCGTGTTACTTGCTATATATGTTATTTCCATCAACGAAGTTTAGCTTTATGTCTTCCTCATTTGTATTTCACTCAAAACATAGCCTAATTAAAGCCTGCTTTCTCTTATTTATATTAGAATCGTATATTTTAAAATAAAATAAAATGACATTATGCATGAACTATGCATGAGACATTTGTCGAAACTTTCACTAAAATTGTTTTCTAATGTAGAAAATCTAAAGGGGAGAAAATAAAATTTTTATCTTATTAGTTCTTTATCAGTATGGAGAACCTATTAAGCCACCTAAATTAATTATTGCATGTTGAAAAAAGTTAAAACAACTAATAACTATTTATTTGCGTTGTTAATAAATGGACGCCATCAACGGAAGCTTGCTTGAGAAAAATCTATGACTCGATCTACACGTATACATTGTGAGGATGTGAGGAAAAAATTTCACATTGGTGTGAGATTAAATCATACAAGAGATTGAACTACTCCTCATACCGTCAATTAGTTTAATGGTGGAACAGAGCATGTTAGCTCACGTATGAAACCTAATGACGACTCGATGTGTGAGACCAAACATGCAAAGACTTATAAGAGGGATGTAGCCCAACTTTCTTTGTGTAGGCAACCTAAACTTTCTTTGTGTATAAAAGGGTTTATAAGAGGGATGCGGGCAACCTCAACTGTCTTTGTGTATAAAATGGTTTATAAGAGGGATATGCGGGCAAGCTGAACTTTTTGTGTGTATAAATTTACAACAAACACAACAGCCAATCATATAAAATTAACCACAAACAATCGGAAACTAATATAAATTCACAACAAACACAATAAACAATCACATATAAATTGATTAAATTCACAAGAAACAATCGAAAACTAATATAAATTCACAATCGGAAATTAAAGACCCACAAGTTTATGCTCATATCTTTTCGATCATTTATTTTTGTGTACCTACAACTTGGGGATTTAATTGTCCAGAATGCATGCAGATGCAGGAGAACTAGGTCTGTTTATTCCTAAACTGATCAGGCTGCAGATGCAATCGTCATATGTAATTTTAGTGATTTTCTTGTGCAATATTATTAGTATGAGTAACGTTACTGAGGCAGCCGCAACAGTCAAGCTACCGGAGAATGTGACTATCCCGGCTGTTATTGTATTCGGAGATTCAATTGTTGATACCGGCAACAACAACAAAAACTTCGTGACATTTGCACGCTGCAATTTCTTACCCTATGGAAAAGACCTCAAGGGAGGAATGCCAACCGGCAGATATTCCAATGGAAAGGTTCCCTCAGACTTCATAGGTTGTCATCACGATCATCATCACAATCATCGTTCATCATCATCACCACCATTAAACACTAATAAAAGATTACTAACTAGTAGCCATTCTGGCTTTGCTTTTGTAGAACTTCGTAAAACCGATAAAAAACTGTGCGCTAACTCCTAGTTTTTTTGTGAAAAATCCGAGAATATAATACTTTTTATCTCTAATTTTGTCCCAAATATTCCGAAATATTCTCTTATACAATAAAATGTTCAATTAACCCTCCTCTATGTTACGATTTTTTTTTCATGTCCAGTGGAAGCATTCGGAATCAAGGAGCTGTTGCCGGCATATTTGGATCCAACCCTGCAGCCTAATGACCTCCTTACCGGTGTTGTCATAGCTAACGGTGCTGCAGGTTATGATCCATTGACAGCAAAACTCGGGGTATGACCTATATATTTAAAGCTCGAATCCTTTATTCTTTTGTTAATTTTATTTTTTCCTCCTTCATTAATTCTGGAATTCGATTGTGTAGGTAGTTGCATCGCTATCCGACCAAATGAAACAGTTCAAGGAGTACATAGAAAAGCTGAAAGGAATTGTTGGAGAGGAGAAAACAAACTTCATTATAAAAAACAGTCTGATTTTTGTGGTAGCCGGCAGTAACGATATTTCTAATACCTATTTTCTTACCGGTGCTAGGAGATTGGAGTATGACGTTCCTTCTTACACCGACTTCATGCTCAAACATGCCTCTGATTTCGTCAAGGTGCGTATTTTCGTGATACAAATTACTAAAAATGAAAAATGTGCATCTTTTCACTATTTAATTGATATATCAAAGTTATGAATTTTGTAGGACTTGTATGGATTGGGGGTACGAAGAATAGGTGTACTAAGTGCACCACCTATCGGATGTGTACCATCTCAACGAACGGTAAATGGAGGCATAGAAAGAGATTGTGACGAAAGACAAAACCAAGCATGTCAGCTGTTCAATTCCAAGCTCAATGTGGAGATGGATCGCCTTAACAAAATCCTACCAAACTCGAGAGTGGTCTACATTGACATCTATAATCCGCTACTCGATATCATAAAAAATCCCGCTAAATACGGTACAATGTTTCATTTACTCTGCCTAGGTAGCTCCATTACATTTCTTATAAATTAGTAAAGATTTATATGTTTGTGTCGATCCATGCCGGCAGGGTTTGAAGTTGCGAATAAAGGGTGTTGTGGTACTGGCCTTATTGAAGTAACAAAACTGTGCAATCAGCTCCAACAGGTCTGCACAGATGACTCTAACTATGTTTTCTGGGACAGCTACCATCCAACCGAAACAGCGTACAAGATCATTGTGAAGCAGATGCTCGACAATTATTCCAGCCGCTTCTTCTAAGCAAGTATTGATGTTATTTAAAATTAAAAAAAATTCTATTTGTTGTGTTGTTACCTGTTGTGCCGTTGTAAAATAAAGTAATTTAATAAGAACTACTTTTACTGTGGTGTGAGAATAAACAATTGTAAAATAATTAAATGTTCGGTTATTGTTTTTTTTGTAGAAGTGTTTTTAACTAATAAAAAAGTGTTTGAGTGTTTGGTAAATTTTTATATGAAATTGTTATGATTATGTTAAGAGAATAAAAAGCTTATTATGTTCATATAATAATTTATTTAGTTAAAATAAGACTCTCCTTACCTCATTTTGTCCGTCCTCATCGTCGCTCCCTTATGATTTAGCAGAGTTGGTGCAATTTCATGGCTTTTCTTTCCCACTTTACGCTTTACCAAAGACAATCTTTAACGAAACCATCTGCAATTTCATGGCTCTTTTCCCACTTTAGGCTTTATCAAAGACACAAACTTTTACGAATCCATTTTAATTTCTTTGGTTTTTTTATCTGGGTTTGGCTTGTTTTGTGATTTGGGAGTCGTTTTCTCATCTGGGTAAGTGCGAAATCCCACTCGCAGGGATCCCAACGGCGATGATTGTTGAAGCTAGGAATAATGAAAGACGTAGTGGCGGGAGAAAGAGAGAGGGAAGATTCCCCGACAAGCTCAACCATCCACAGTCTCTCTTCTACTTCGACTGATTCTCGCCCGGATTCACCGCTCGAGGTCTGATTCGATCGTCGTGTCAAGGTTGAAGAGGTCCGAACCTGGCTTTCTTATGAAATTGTAAATTTAGTTAATTAACTTTATATGCCATGTGCGACCTGTCATCAAATAAAAAAGATTAACAATTAATTGACAAATAGAGAAAAAGGGATTCTCGTTCTTGTTCTAATTCATTCTATGATGTGCGGAAGCGTTGGCTTTGCAGGCTGGTTGTGAGTTGGGTCTCTATTTGAATCTGACTCGTGGTGGTTGAATCTGATTCTCAAAGGAACTATTTCATGTATGCGGGGTTCAATCTTTGAGGGCAGATGGGAGGCTTGTCTATTTTAGAGTAGTGTTTGAAGCTTGGGGAGGCCTTTCAGGGCTGTCGTTGATCTTGGGTTCCAAGATCAGCAAATGTAGCAGCGGATCATTTAGCGTCGCGCAGATGTGTGATGTGTCTTGGGTCGAACGACCCCATCTTCTCTAGTGCATGTTTTGAATAAGGATGATTTACCTTGCCCGGCTTAATTTTGTGTGGGAGGTGCAAGGGGGGACACATTGAGCTTACTAGAGTGTCGGCTCTTCTACCCCCTGTTCTTCCGGTCTGTTTTTTGGTTGGTTGCTTGTGTTTTGGCTTTCGTTGTACTGTTGGGCTTCTCTTGCCTGATTTTAATTATTATTTTAAAATTGTATTTAGCAGTTACGTACGGTACCACCTACTATATCCCTTATTGCATTTGCATTAAACAAGGCATGTCTTGTGTCTGACGATCGATCTAAATGACAGTACGGGCTGTATGCAGCACCCTTTATATGTATAATAAATATAAATATAAATGCACTCGCTATTAATCATGGCCCATAAGTTGGCTCCCACTCTTCATCCTTTTCCGTTGTTTGGTTTAGTTTGGTCAATTAGCTAGCCCAGCTACTTGGGGAAGAACCAAACAGAGAAATTTGCAGTCGTATTCAGTGATGACCACATTATTATGAGATTTTTTCTGTTTGTTTGTTGTGGTCTGGTGATTTTGGGAAACCAAGCGGTTGGAGGTGATGTCGTTAAGCTGCCGCCCAATGCAACGATTCCCGCTGTGTTTATGTTTGGCGATTCCATCGTCGATACAGGGAACAATAACGTCAACCTGAAGACGCCAGCTCGGTGTAATTTCCCTCCCTACGGCAGGGAGTTCGAAGGAGGAATATCTACTGGGAGATATTCCAATGGAAAGGTTCCCTCTGACCTCGTAGGTTGTGCTTCTGCTTCTGCTTTTGCTGTGTTTGACTCTCACTCTCACTCTCACTCTCACTCTCACGATACATGATACTAATTAATACTACAATTAGGTTTTCTTAGTGAATAAATTAAGCACTTGATATTTTTTTTCTTTTTCCATAAAAGCACTTGATATGCAATACATTGAACTTTTTAGTTTCAACTATTTGTATAATTCATCATGAGAAAACAAGTACAAGGGAGAAGTTCTTATATAGAGCTTGAGAGTGGCTTAAAGGCCTATTGACAAAGCCTGATATTAGTTCATATAAAGAACAAAAAAATAATCCAGCTAACCCTACATACAAGTTTCAATAAAACACAAGACCATGAATTAAGGAGTAAATTAAAGGACAAAGGAAAAGTGACAGCTGCAACTCACACATGTGATTGTGTGTTGAAGAAGCAATGCATCACGTCTACATCACTTCCAATGTCCAAAAGTGACAGCTGCAACTCACGTCTACATCACTTCTAATGTCCAAAAGTGACAGCTGTAACTCACGTCTACATCACTTCCAATACAATACTAGTGTTTGACTTATTTATTGCATATGTCGGTTAGTTCAACCGATCAAGAAAGCGTGTCCGCATTTAAATTCAATATTAATTAAAGTAGTTTCATTATAGTTTATAAAATATTTAAGTAAATGGAATTGCAAATCAATCAACATTATCGTATCCTTTATATGTATATATTATTTAGAATGAATTCCACGTTGGGAAATAAGAGACATTACAAGTGTTTACAAGTGCTTGAGTTATTTTCTATATTGTCAATTGCTTTATGGTGGAATCGCAACCTCTTTTATGGTATCAGAGTATGTTGTCCCACATGTGAAACCAAATGAACACATTTGCCCCTCGTCTCCCGATTTGTATTGTCCACGTGTTAGGCTTGTAAATTCGTCACACGTGAGAAGTTGTGTTGAGAATGAATCACATTAAGCAAATAAGGGATCTTTGCATAGGATCTTTGATTCCAGACAGCAGATTGCCTCTGGCTTGACTTGGCATCTTTCCTATCTTTCTCTTTTCCCCTTTGATTTAAGCAATTTGACCCCCTCCCCCTATCCTGCCGCTTAGAAAAATTTGAGCTCCAAGGCTTTGAGATATAATTCACTGCCTGAATTCTGCAACTGGCCTAGCAGCATACTGAAATCATCTCAAGTTACTATATCTCCGGAGCTAACCCTTTGAGCAGGGCTTTGTGCTATGTCCCCTCCTAGTGTTTCTTTCTCTGGCTACTTCAAAGTTTGTGCTTGTTTATGGAAAGGTTAAGAGTGTTTTTTATATTATTGACAAAAAAAGTAAGACTGACAAAATTAAAAGTGATCATGGGTCATAAAAGCGCTTTGCTAAACGTTTCTTCATATAGAGCTTACAAGTGGCTTTATATACGCCCAATGAAAGCCCTCATAAAACGCAGCCCTTGTCCATGTAACCTTAGAAGTTGGAACTCGTATCTCATATGACCGTCCAAGAGCAAATTCAAGTTGGTTAACTTAACGACAATGTGAAACCAATGATATGAAATTTACAAAATGGTCCTTTAGTTTTGTGAGTGTTGTGGCAACTGGCAGTACAGTTTCTTCAATCTTGATCGTAATGCAAGTTAATTAACTAAACTTTCATTTGATTTGGTTTTATGCGTTGTTTATTTCAGTGGAAAAGTTAGGCATTAAAGAGCTCCTGCCAGCCTATTTGGATCCAAACCTACATCCCAATGATCTGCTTACAGGTGTCAGCTTTGCCGTTGGTGCCACCGGATATGATCCTATAACAGCCCAAATTGTGGTATCACGACTTGCATATTTCTTTTCATTAATATGTGTAAGATAATGTTATAGAGATTAAATTTGTAGATAAAATTTGAAAATTAATAGATATGAAAGTTGTTGATTGGTTTATTACTTAAGCGTTGATAAACGTGCTCATTCCTATTTGTGACACATCATTTAGTTTATAAATTTTGTCTTCAAATTTAGTCTCCATGGCATTACTCATATGTTTATCAATGAAATTTTATGTGTGTTCATAACATTTGTCACGTGATATACTATTACACTCGTTTAGTAACATACAAATATACGTGTTATAATTTTAGTAAAATCATGATATATGTGGCAGTATTTCGAGTACTTAAGAAAGTTTCTCATGCTTATCAAGCTTAACACCTAATTACGTTACTAATGGTTCCTTGGTGAAATTTAACTAGGCAGTTACACCACTGTCTAATCAACTGCGGCAATTTGAAGAGTACATAAGAAAGCTCAAAGGAATTGTGGGAGAAGAGAGAGCAAACTTCATCCTAGCCAACAGTCTATGTTTTGTGGTAGCAAGTAGCAACGATATTGCTAATACCTACTTTGTTGCCGGTGTTAGGAAGTTAGAGTATGATGTTCCTTCTTACACTGACCTCATGCTCAATCATGCTTCTGATTTCTTTAAGGTAACTTTTAATTAAGAAATAATTAGACATAAATCCGGTTTTATGAGCAATCGTTAGTTTGGTCAACCTGCATAATCAATACACTGTTATACGTGAACTGATTATATCACGTGTTTATATTTCAATAATTTGTTTCATTTTGTTATATGTGATCAAGTTTGTAAAGTGCTATTTTGTAATTTGCATTTTGGACGTGTGATACCTTGTTCGTATTTGAAGGGATTTTATGCATTGGGGGCATGAAGAATTGGTGTTTTCAGTGCACCACCTATTGGGTGTCTGCCATCTCAAAGGACTTTAGGAGGAGGCGTGGAAAGAGATTGTGCAGACAAACCAAACCAAGCAGCCATGCTCTTTAACTCCAAGCTCTCTGCTGAGCTGGACGACCTCAAGAATAACCTACCTAACTCGATGCTAATTTACGTCGACATCTACAACCCACTTCTGGATATGATCATCAACCCTACTAATTACGGTAAAACCTCAACCCTATCTTTTAGGAAGCGCTTGGATTTGTATTCAGAATTTCAGTGCATTTGTAATGAAAGTATTTCTAACAGAAAAATTTATGAGCATACATGGTTTTTACGAAAGCAATCTCAAACACGCCCTTTGACGACATCTCAAAGACTAACGAATTTTGTATTGAATTTGCATTAGGGTTTGAAGTTTCGAACAAAGGGTGTTGCGGGAGATTGTTGAATATTTTAAATATATATATATATATATAATAATATATATATAGGTATATATATATGAGTGTGGCGTTTGTCAGAAGATGGAGTTGGGTTAGTCACCCAACAATCACATTCTTTGGAATTTGAAAACTGCCGTACCTTTTATTGTTTGGTGGAAAAACAGGATGCATCCCGAACAGATGCATGCCCTTTTCCAACATATGTAATTATTGGTAATTAACCTCTTGTATCAGATATATCCATTAGAAACATTGCTGCAATGTTTAGTTGTATCTCATGGTGAGAGGGCATACCCAAAACCAAAGGATATGTCTAAAAGGTGCAATTCTCTCTATATATATTGGTAACATTAGTAGAAAATGATTCATTCAGAAATTTGTTGTCTACATAATTTCTTTGCTCTCTTTTCCTCTCTCATCACATTCATACAATTTCTTTCTAGTTATTTTCTAAGGGAATATAATTCGGTTTTGCTAATCGAATATTCCATACTTTGTTGTATCCTGGAAGTGATTTGCCAAGAACCCTTTAGCAAACTCATTCGAGTGGGGGCAAATAACACTTTAAGGAAACGATTCAAGTCGTACCTCAAAGTCATTATTCAGATTATTCTCCATAATTCTACATTTAATCTAACAATCTTAAAGTGTTATTTTCGTCATGGATAACAAATCTGATAACATGGCTTTGAAGATTATCAATCAAGATGTCTACAAGTTAGACAAATTTGATGGATCAAATTTCACCCGATGGAAGGACAAGATGCGTTTCATGCTTGCTGTTCTAAATGTCATATATGTGTTGGACCCGAAATTGGAGCCTATTCGTGAACCAAGTGACAAAGACTCGGACAATATAGTTGCCGATCGAAAGAAGCGTGAAGAAGATGAATTGGTATGTCGATGACACATCTTGGGCACATTATCTGATCGTTTATATGACTTGTATGCACACATTCAATCTCCAAGGAAATTTGGGAAGCACTTGAACACAAGTACACAACGGAAAAAAGAGGTACCGATAAATTTTTAAGGTACCGATAAATTTTTAATGTTCAAATATTATGAATTCACTATGTTTGATAACAAACCCATCCTAGACCAAGTTCATGAATTATTAGTCTTGGTCTCAAAGCTTCGTGAACTTAAAATAGTTATTCTGGATCCTATGATAGTTGGAGCTATTATGGCAAAATTACCCCAAACATGGAATAACTATAGAAAGAAACTTCTACACATGGTGGAAGATATTAGTTTGGAGAATT